ACACACACACACACACACACACACACACACACACACACACACACACACACACGAACGATTTGGGATCTAAATTGCCTCACAAAAGTTCTTTTAAATTGATAAAAGAAAAATGCATCTGCTGAGAATCAAAGAAAAAAATTAATGTCATAGCCTTAAACAGGAGCTAATTTAAATAGATTTACATTTCTAAAATTAACCCAAACTGCAAATTATTTTACAGATAAGGCCAGACAGTGTCAAGAAGCTTTCTATATAGTCATTAACCATTACTTATGTTCCCAAAAGCATATCTTTCCTTCAAAAAAAATTGTAGCATTGATGTGTTGCCTTTAAAGGACATTTTGTGCTAAAACAGTATTCCAGTTTTTAAGAAGTTGCAAGTTACCAATTACATTTTTATATATCCAGAAAGGTGAACATTTGTCAATGTACTATCTGAGCTGGAAAGAATGTAAAGGTACCCATTTGTCACTTTACGCTCTGTGCAGATTGTCTCTGCCATCTTGTGGTATAAGACAGCAATGTTTTCTATCAAGCTTAGGTCCCAGTCTTGCAATGGGATGGGTCTGAAGTCAATGGGAACCTGCATGGACTGCGCCAGTGGAACGTATATTGTTATATCACACTGATTATGATAGAGAAGCATGTTAAAATATGAGATAAAGGAACATTATTAAGTTTGCAAAGTCAATCACTCAAAAGCTAGGAGAGACCAGAATTAAGGTTGTCTATTCAATATATTGTTTTCTCATTGTTCAATGTGGCCCCAAGCTTTATTTACTACAATATATTCAGACTTTGCTCTGCACATAGAATTTCTAATTTCCCCATGGACTTTTCTGTGGTGCTCATCACTATGGGATCCAAATGCTTCAAAAACATTAATTTATTTTCAGAACGCTCCTGTGAGATGAAGGGTCATTAGCCCCATTTTACAGATGGGGAACTGAGGCACAGAGATTAAGCTCAAATGTACCCACAAATTTTGGGTGCCCAATTTGAGACACCCAAGACGTGATGGCACACTATAGTACTTCAGATGTTCAAAACACAGTTCCCATTGTGACTGCTCAGCACTTCTGCAAATCAGACTCTTGGGTCTTCAGTCAGGCATCCAGAAAAACAAGGAACAAATAACTAGTGACCACCTGTGAACAGATGTTTTTAAGTGACTTGTGCAGCCTCACAGAGAACGTCTTTGGCAGAGATAGGGATAGAATCCAATTTACCAGGGCAGTATTCAACTGCCTTAACCAGGATGCCACCCTGTCTCTTCCTGAAATCCCGTCTCATTCACCACACACCTTTCAACTTCTGCAACAAATGAGGCAACGGGTCCTACAGATGTGCTTAATTCACTACATACCCCTAATTCATTCCTAAAGCATGGTCTATCCTGTGTGTTGAATGATGCAGGGGTCCTGTGGAAATATTATGTGATTACATAATTAAATGCAAAATGCAGGGGAACAGGGGGTGTGGGAGGGGGGCAAATTACACAGGGTAATCGGCTAGTTATCTTAGGTGCCTGTACACGAACGCAAGAAACCCGGGAAACAAGCAGAAA